CCAGCAAGTCCGCAAGCTCTCGCGATGTTTGCCGGTTGTTGGCCTCCAGTGCCTCCTGCAAGGCAGAGTTATCAAACTCCGAAGGACGACCGGTGCGTGGCTGGTCTTCCAGGCTTTCATTTCCTTTCTGGAAGCGACTGTACCAATCATAGGCAGTGCTCTTGGACACAGTGTCCGGGCCAAACGCGGTATTGATGTCAGCGATGGAGTTGGCTGCCTTCTTCTCGATTCGGAGTCATAAAGAAGAAGCAGGCGAACTTGCTCCTAAGTAAGAGGGTAGGGCTGGTTCATGGCTGGAGAGCACCAGGGCTGTAATAATATACGGTTGTATGCCGAAGGACACGACCTACTTATAAACACACGCAGAACATTCTAGTATGCTCTGGAAAAAAATTGTACTGGATATTCAAGAAATTCCGAGAACTTTCTTTCCAATCAGATAAGTCAGAGACGGTCACTTCCTTAAAGTTCAAATTTTGCCCCCTTTCGTGCGCAACCTTCGAACCTGGAAAATAAAAATGAATATTATTGCAAAAAATACAAGGAGGACCGAATCCATCTGCTGTACGAGGAACTGAAGTGCTGGATGCACGAACGTCAGAGCGCGAATCGATTACGGTTAGCTCGAGGAGAGGCGACGTTCCGTCGGGAACAGCGTGTATCGATCGAGTTGAAATGGATACGGGAAGACGGGAAGGGAGGAGATGGTGAGCAGTACGCAGAGATGTACGTGATGAGAACGTACGAGGATCGTGGGTGGCTCCTATTCCGAGACGGGTAGAGTACTCCATGGTGCGCTTTTGTTTATCCCAAATTGGCATTTGGGTCGGATCAACATCGCATTTCCCGCGGGACGCTCCCGCTCGCACGCCTGGCGCAGGTCTCGCCCGCTCTCGGGAAGCGGAAAGAGCTACGCATATGGTGCGGTGTCTTCCGCTTCTTATTCCGTGTCAACTGGTCTCCCCATATCCGTACTTCCGCTTCCCGTCGGGCAAACTGTACCATTGCGAGGAACACAAAATGCGTTCGAAAAAAGGAATAGCTAGTATGTTGACTTTTTCTCTTACAACATTCGTCCCCAGTTGTCCTCTACCCTTGTCGGTCTCGACACAAACATGCCGATTTAGGGGTATTTCCATATGATTTTCGAAAAAAAAAACTGGCGGTAAAAAAAAAGGAACCTTAGATACCGAATTATCGAGAGGCTAGTTGCATTAGTTCATCAATGAAATTGGTATGATAATTACCTTTTCATCGAGTCGATAAATTATTGGCTATCCCTTAACAATAACTAATCCTGGGTCTATTGCATAGGGTAATCTTGACCATGGCAGCCAGTATTTCAATGCTTTCTGTCCAGAAGCTAAGACGTTTGAGTAATGCCTGGTCGGAATCGTGTTTTTCATTTGACTCATGCGAAAAAAAATACTGCAAGAGGGATGTAAACAAATTTGTGATGATGATCGTGTCAATGTCATTTCTGTATTGGCATAGTACGTAAGAATAATATCCTCACTCTATCTCACAGTGGAGTGCCAATGTGGGGATGATCATGGGATTCCCTTGTCTTGCTTGCTTCCCAAATTTCATGGTCCAGAAATACGTGTTAAGCCCCCTTAGGTAAGGAGTATTCACGACCTGAGCTCTTGGTGCCGAATACTTGATCATCCCATGTCCATTGATGCAGATACCAAGCTGGAGGAACAATTTTAGCCGGGAAGCTCGCTCTCGAGTGCGGTTGGGCCATCAACCTTGGGGGTGGTTTCCACCATTGCTCTGCTGCACGGGGAGGTGGCTTCTGCCCGTATGCAGACATAACTCTGTGCATCCACTTTGCACGCAAGCATATCCCAATGGCAAAGAAGTTCATGATTATCGACCTTGATGCACACCAGGTAGCCCACATTATATCGGATTATTCATTCATTCATTTAATTTTAATGGCTGGTGAAAGACATTAGTGTTGTTTTACCTTTCACACAAAGCCCACACAGCACAGGGATATCCCAGGGATGTCCCTAACTGGACGACTTGTCCCCATGTCTTTATAGGATATCCTGAAGACATCTTCTTTCGGACAGTTTCGGACATCTCGTAAGGGCTGTCTTTTAGACATCTTCAGTCGATATCTTAGAGATATCCCGAAAGGGATATCTTTAAGACATCCTTAAGTCGAATGCTTCTGGATATCCTGGAGGGGATATCTTGAAGTCTTATCTTCAGTCTTATATCTTCAGTCAAACACTTTTCGATATCTTGAGGAGGATGTCTTAGGGATGTCTTTAGGCATCTTCAGTGCTCTCTGTCGCCTTCAGTCAGGTGCACAGCTTCGACGGTAGATGTCT